TATACTTTTTCCCCAGCCGTGTCCATTCCCGTCTGAAACTTCATCCCTTAGTTGGTGGAAAAAGGGTGTTTATTTGTCATTTTTTTGTACCTTCCCCCACCGGGGTGCTCTCCCTTTTCGCCTCTTTTGCGGTCCCCCCCCCCCCCCCCAAAAAAAAACGCCTGATTGCAGGTTAGTTATCTTGCCTATGAATCACCTAACTTTTCTTCGATATTATATATGCACTTCAATTTAAGTGGGAAGGTCAATTTTCGTCCTGAGATATGCCAAGTTAAAACTTCTGGGAAACTTTACGAAATTAAGTCGAATCAAGCATAGAACTTGACTGAAAACTACCGTTGTATTGTTTTTTAAAATAGCCTTTCAAGATTGTAATGGAAAACCGTAGCAAACCACGTTTTGACTACGTACAAAAGAACCAAGAAGAAAAGGTATCAATATATAAAAATGCTGTGTAATAGGCTCTTTAGCTAATGACGCTAATGGAATAAGCCAGCTGTTAGGTTCTATTTTTATCGTGCGTTAAGAAGGGTGTCTATTAGCTATATAGAATGATATAGTTGGAGATAATTGAAGCAGTAAAAAACTTCCGTCATTGACCGCAGTGATGTAGATAAATATGAGCTAAATAACTTTCTAACTTGCTCAGAATGTAGCAAGGTCGACTGAGAAAAACTTTTTGGTGAAAACAAAAAAATAAAATAAAATAAAACAAACATCGGGAAATTAGCAATCGAACGTGTTCAACACCAGCTTTTCGTCAGAAAAAAAAATATTATTTTAAAGGGCGAGTCGTTCGAAATTGCAGCTGCTTTGAAATATCTTTTGAGATGCCAATCGTATTTCTTTTATCAATCTTAGTTGATAAAACTAATGTCAGGTAAATTTAGTGCAAGGATTGATCTAACTCAAATAGACCAAATAGCACCTTCAACGAAAATTCGTTATCTCAAATACTAGACTTTTTTTGGAAATTCTTATGTGCAAATCTGTTTGCAGGTTTCTAGTTAATAAGTAAGGTGTGAAACTCACTTGAATGGCAAACTTTTTATTCTTATCTGTAGATATTACCTCGCCTCTTTTCTCCAAAGAAAGCTCGCCGAGCCCACGACTGGTTGCGATCTGGAAACCACAATTATGATGGTATGTGAACCCTTCGGTTTTACCACAAATAGGCTCTTCCTTTTTAAACAAGAGCTTTCATCTCGAAGCATTGTATGCTCGGGAATCTTTCTTCCTATTCTATCGCAATTTTAATTGTTAACTTTTCGACCCAAGTTAAAATAAAAATCAATTCCATATCCTTGAATGCTGCAACGAAAGCGTTGCGAGATATGTTCATATTTTGGGTGCAGAGGAGGGGGGGGGGGGGGGGTGTAACAAGAAGGCTTCCAACAACATGTCTAGCGCAACAAAATTGCAAGACAAGAGTGAGGAGAACTTTGACGTCTTGTTACCATGGTAGCAAAATTTCTGGATCTCAAGAGGAGGCGTGAAACATGTCAGCTGCAAAATCGTGTTTTCATGATATATCTTGCGTGAGCGAGCTTTGCCGTTGATTGTTTTATTGCAGAAAAATTAGCTGTTCTTAAACAGTTTTGGATTAAAGATGAAGAACGGCAAGCCACTGACAAGGTAAGGAGTGTTTCTTATCAAACTGTAATAATAAATACAATTTGCTGTTGCATCGTTTAAGTGTGGTAGTTAAATTGTAAATAATTTATATGGCGGAGGACAGGCGCAGATTTAGAGAAATCAGAAAAAGAGTGCAGGAAGAGTTTAGTGTTGCTACTGATATAGATAATATTAATTATTTCCTATATTTCGGTTTGGAAGACAGCGGCTTCAGAAGGCTTTGTCTTCCAAACGGAAATGTCGGGCAAATACTTTGTATTATTATTTTATTTCCTTGTTCATCGCCCTTTCGTCAGGATCAGTTTGTCTTTTTATATTTTACACTGCTTTTTTTTTTACTGTCAAGAGCCATTTTAGTTTAGAGATTGTCTCTCACAATTGTCATCGTTTCAGGTTCTGAGGGAAAGTTTTCAACCCCAAGTTGCACCACGTGTTCGGGAGTGGCTCAACGAGGCTGACGGAGAAGGTATGGGTCCGAACAATTAACATTATAACATAACAAAACTAAATTGCGCGCTCTGATTGGTCAGTCAGCCACTACCATTTTCCCGTGGGTGCACGCTAAGAAACTGAGCTAGCGCGGTAAAATTTAGGCAAATTCAACAAATCTCCTCTCCTGACGGTAAAATACACCGACGAAATGCACAGATGAAAAGTGGAAGTTGAAGAAAATACTAAGCTGTCGTTTTGAAGGAAAAAAGACAAAAGATCAAGCGACAAATTTGCCCTGGATGAATGAATCACTGTTTTCCTCGCGGCTAGAATCTGCTGAAAGAAAATCGAGCGAGCGAAGATTTAAGGTACATTTTGTGTGTTTTTTTGTAGAAGAGAAAGTCTGTTTGGAAAGGAAAATTATCAATTAGCATTGTGTTATTGACTTTTTGGTCAAGCTGATGCTAAATTCAAGCAAATATTTTAGGAAACACGCTCAAATTCGAGACAGCTTTGTTGTGAAGTTTTCATCGCATCGATTAAAAATTTTAGTTGAGTTTAAACGGGCACATA